ATATTAACTCACTCCCATTTCCCAAAATGTTAAAAATAGATATATTAGTTACCATATTCGTAAGCTCTGAATAATTATCAGTGGTTCAACTTCCTTATTATAGCTTAATTCTTTTCCAATTGGCTTAAAGAAATAATAAAACTTGTTAGAAATAACAAGCTCGTGAGATCAAGATCTTTATTCTCAATTTGCTACGGACGCTATTTCAATAAAGTATGTAGTTAATCTGATACGTTTTTATTCATGGGTTTTAAACCTTGGTATAATCAAAGAAAAAATCCAATACAAGACACTTGAAAACCTGTCTTAGAAACAAGTTTCCTTCAGTTATGATCAATTCACTAGTAAATTGAAGCATCCGGGAAAAAATAAATCTAAATTAGTACGGACAGTTTAAAAAGATGGATAAAGTTTTTAGCTTGCCGAGTAGTGAAAATGAGGGGAGTCAGGGATAAGAATAAAAACGATTAATTAGTCTGCAGCACGTCGAGAGGTTTGGGAAAAAAACTAATAGATAAATACTACAATATTGCATGTTGAATGAATATTTCGTCATGTATTTTAATGCTATGCAATGTTGAATTGAGTGATGATGTAGACCGTTTACGAAATAAAAAGCGCATACGATAATTATCTTCACGCGCATTCAGGCCTATGCAAATTTCACCGATAAGAAGCTAATAAATAAAATCTTCGCCTAAAATAGAGAGAGAGGCTTCAAATATCGGTTAGGATTTTATGAAAATTTTTAAAATAGCTATTAGCTGATACTAAGATATCCTTCACTCAAAAAAAAAGGATCGTCTCTTTAGACTAAATGGGTAAAGATATGTTCGGCCATTATAGAAATTCTTTTAATAACTTGATTAAAATAAAAAGTGTTAAAGAGAAAAATAATGTAAGGAATATATACTATAAAGATAGGCTATTTTCTTAGATATATTTATTTTCCAACATTTATCGTAATTTGTGAAATTGTAAGATAAAAGATATTAAGATCTAACTGGTATGGCCCTAAGTATGGTCGCGTTCTCCTTCATGCCTTTGATCAAGCTATGGAAGTAGGATTGCCAAATAATGCAACCTGACCAAAAAGACCTTTTTGGATAGTTTCAAAAGTCATTATATGGCTCCTGTGTTATGCAACCTGATGAGGAAGTGCAATTCGAACGAAGTTCTGGGATTTGATATATAGGAGGTATAAGAATAAATTGCTTAGATATGGGATAATACAATGGAATAAGCTTAAGCCGACTCGACCAAACTGTGATGTTTCAGTGTTGCTGGCACTCAATGCTTCAAATAACGATATGGTTAACGTAGTGAACGTATCTTCAGTTCATATTTATTCCTAAACCATGTATCTACTGAGTAAGGGGTTAATCTTTTCCATAGGTAGCTTATGAAAAGTTTTTATAGATATTCTTGTAGAGGCTATGAATATCTAGATGAAATATTTCGAATAGGCTAGTCGGTAAATGGAAGTGGAATTACTTCCGAGATTCCTGGCTAATCATTAGCCAATTAGCAAGAGCGGATTGACGAAGACGCGCAAAAACTTACAAAGGAATAACCAACAAGTTCATCAGGTGTATAAGCGGTGAACGATGATTGTAATAGAAGTTAACCGCATACAGAGTGAATGAAAAATATGTTAGGTAACTTATCAATTGTTTATAAAGAATTCAACCATAAAAATCAACAGGATACTGAAGGATACACTAGAGAAAATGCAAAGAACTTGACAAGTGGAGGATGAAGTATTTAATGAAAAATGACGCAAGCCCACTATCAGCCGAAGATAGACAAGGAAGGAAAACTAATAAGTTTACCAGTCAACAATAAGCATGGAGCGACACACAACCTAGCAAAAATCCTAAGCATGAAGCACAGGAATGTAAACGACAG